TGCAGAAAGCCCCTGTGATCGGAGCAGGTTCTCACCAGTCGGGACACCTCCAAGATGATTCCTCTTCGGAAGGTTTCACGCGATCTGTTCCAGGGCCCCATTGCAAAGCTCATCTCCCTCCCCGCCCCAGGGAGAGCTCTAGGGTTAGGGAGGGGCAGAATCAACAGCCCTGAGGCAGAAGGATCTCAACACCTTCCAGGAAGGAGGAAGCCCAGGGAACTTGAGCACAGGGAGTGGATTGAGAGGTCAAGTGGGAACAGGAGCCCTAAGAGCACACATGACCTGTCTGGAGCTTAGAGCCTACTCTGGAAGCAATTAGGAGCCTCTCAAAGGTGTGAACCTAAAAGTGACATGATCTAGTGTGAACTGGCAGAAGCTCACTGTTCCAGGATGATCGCCCTCCAGAGAAGCCTGAGTTGAGGTCCCAGAGGTCAGCCAGAGGTAGATCCCATCCTCTTCAGAGCTGAGACATGTGGAATGGAGACATTGATGTTGGATAGAGGTGTGGCTCCATCTGTGGTCCTCAAAAGTTGCCTGACGCAGGCCGCCTCCAAGGCAGACAGAGGAGACAGGGTGGACACAAAGAAGAGAATGTCAAGAGAAACAATCCTGCGGTACTTGGTCACACCACCTGGGAGACGCTGTGACCAGAAGGATGGGAGGAGCCCAGCTGCTGACCTGTTCGGGAAGCCTGGGACATGGGTCTGACAGGAGCTTGGGACCCAGGTAGTGAGTTCAGCTTTGGGGCTAAGGGTCGAAGCCAGGCTGGTGCTCTTGGATGTGGAATGTGCCCGGGCTTCAGGGCTGCAGCTGATGGCAACTGGACATGGAAGGGCATCCAGGGTCTCAGTGATGTGTCCTCCCTTCCCTAAAGACAGCGACAGAAAGTGCCCCAGCCCTATGCCTGGTGGCCAATTTCAGTCCATGTCCTCCCTCATTCCCCTCACCCCCACTAAGATCTTTATCTCCACTTATTGGAAAGCTAGAGGGGGCTCGAGGACAATGATCATGAGATAGGGTAATGACCAGCAGCCACTTCAGGGTTCTCTGGCCTGGACAGGGAGTGGAGAACCTGCTGGATCTGGGCCTGTGAGACCGCGCCCCGATGACCTGGATTTGTGTAAGGCAGAGGCACTTCCAGGGGTGCAGGCCACCCGGAAGGTGGAGCCCGGAATGTCCCCGCCCTGCGCCTACTTTTTTCTTTTTTTGAGCTGGAATCTCACTCTGTCACCCAGACTGGAGTGCAGTGTCCACTCCCAACCACCTCAGCCTCCACCTGCTGGACTCTGGTCATCTTTCCGCTTCAGCCTTCCAACTAGCTGGAACTACAGGCATGCGCCACCATGCCCGGCTCATTTTTGGTTTATTGGAGAGACGAGGTCTCACCAAGTTGCCTGGGCTGGTCTCGAACCTGCGATGGACTCAGGCGATCCACTCGCCTTGGCCTCCCAAAATGCTGGGATGACAGGCTGAGCCATTGAGCCCGGCCTGCTCTGCGTTTCTAACCCCAGCCCCCCGGGGGCGGGGTCAGGGGGTTCCAAGCTTGAAAACCACTCCAGCAAGATGAGGGGATCCCAGGACAGGCACCTTCTCCCTGGGAGTGGTGAGGCAAGAAGAAGCCTCAGGTCAACTTCAGGAAGGAAATTTACAAACCGAACAAGAGCCAGAGCTAAAGAGAGGGTTTTAATGGGGATAGGCCACCGCTTTGGAGACCTCCCTAGACTAACGTAAGGATCTCAGTGTGCAATTCGCTACACGACTCCTTTTTTCTTCGAACTTGTGTTTCTACTTCACTTTCCCCACTGAATTTCATGCTAAGGTAACTCACCTACTTTTGTGTTTCAGAGTTTTAAAACTCACTCCTGTATTATTTATCTGCAACTCTGTCAGGGGTGCCCAAAAATATACACATTTTAAGTGATGTTATCTATGTGTTACTTTTTAAAGTTGAATTAAATCACTGTAGCAATGTGTAGTATGACTTTTGCTCAATCATGCTTCTGTCATTTTCTTTGACTGTCCTGCCTGTGGCATGGTGATGCTAGCATTCACTTGATTAACGCCATCTTTTGAGCTAACATCATACTTAAAATGTGTATTTTTTTGACACCCTGGATATATTATACACACATAATATTTAGGAAAATAGTTGATGAAACAACATGAATGGTTTTATTTTAATAAATATTTATTTTAATAAATATTTGTTGAGTGTAAAATTTATTGGAAAGACACTCTTTACTCAGAGGGAGGGGCACAGAATTAAGGGAATTGTGGAATGGTTTCTTTTTTGGATTGCCTGGGACAGTGGCTACTGTTTAAGTCTCAGGCAGGTGAGACTGGCAAGTGGGAGAAGGAAAGGAGAGTGAGAAAAACCCAGGATCAGGAACTCACTCCCCTGGATATACTTCTTTTTCTGGCTGAGTGATTTTCATGCATAAGTCCGGATCCTCTGTGGACTGTGCAGATCTGAAAATCCATTCTCTGAAACTCCCTGGGTTCACTTTCCCCTTGGAAAGGTGCCTCCTGAGTAGCCGGTTTTATTCCATGCCCTGTCAGAGACTCTGATAAAACTGGAGGGGGAGCCTCAGAGCCAGAAGCCAGCCTGCCAAGAGGGTTATCCTCACCGTCGTGAGATCATTGTTTATAATGAAATCGTAGGCTGAGGGCCAAGCTTAAAATCCAACAGAAAGCACGGCTGTTAAAGTCTGTCATAGCACAGTTTCAAGGTAGGCTCTCCCGCAGGGCCAAGATTTACCACTCTGACCGTTCCCTTGTCTTTAATTTCCTGCTCTCTCTTGAAAATTGTCAGTCTGTATTTGCTGGTGTTTGTAAGATTATCGAACGTTCTAGCACCTTCTAGTTCTCATTAGGCTATCTCTGTGAGAGTGAAAGAACTCTCCCTGAAAATGAGCAGTAATTGCGGTGACAAAAGTAGCATTTTATAAGGTTATTCAGTGGTGAGCTTTGATTGTTGAACAGGGAAACTAATGTCTCCCCAAAGGCTTATAGCATCCCTGCATTAAATTGTTCAACATCAGACTTGGCCCATGGAATTTAGAGCTGCTGTCTTATACATTCACCTTGCTTTCCTCAGGTTTCTTGATTTCCGTGGGCAGTCTATGTTTTTCTTGATGCTCTAGAGCAGAGGGCTTAGTCTTTTTTGTCTCATGTTCCTTTTCCACTCTTAAGAATTCTTGAGAGCTGTCGGGAATTTTTATGTGTGGATATTTGCTATATTTTCAATTAAAATGGATGAGTTAAAGAAATAAAAAAGGAGGCCTTAAAAAATACCCATTTATTAAGTAATTTAAAACATGAATTAGCTTCATGATGACACCAATAACTTAGTTTAAAAAATCTGTATTTTCCCAAACAAAAAAAGAGCCGTGAAAACAGCGGCATTATTTCACATTTCTGCAAATCTCTGGCTTCATAGAAGACCACTGGATTCTCACAACTGCTTCTGCATTTGGGGAACTCCCCCCCACAATCTTGAGAGAGTGAGACTGAAAAGAGCAAATAACATCAAGTGTTATTACAGACATGGTTTTGACCTCATGGGCCTCCCCCTGAAGAATTAGGGGAAACTTCAGGGACCCGACCACACCGTGAGAACCGCTGCTGGGGGATCAAGGGAGCCGAGCTCCAAAGGATGTGGGGAGACGGAAGGAAGGTGAGACACCACCAGAAGATTCACGTCACCCCCCCCCCCCACGGCCCACGGGAATCCCATCACCAGCACCACCACAAGCACAGAGCCCGGGATGGAATTTTAGGATTCATCCACCCAGGCATGCAAAAGATATTTTAATTGAAGATTTTTCTCCCCTCGGGGTTCGAGGCGGCAGAGAGCTATGGTCGGGTGGCTGCATTCCAGCCTGGGGGGGGGACAGAGCAGTTTTAAGAACCTCTGCAAACAACAACGAAAACCATGGGAAGCCTAAACGTGTGGCAATGGCGAGAAGGAAATTCCGGGTTCCCAAAGCCGAGGGCTCTGCAGCTGTCAAACACAGGAAAAGGGAGGGCAATGTGGTCAGTGGAGATAGCCTCAGGATATTTTAAAGCAGAGAGCCCAAAGCACAACAAGGTGTCTGTCCTGATCTCTTTTGTGCATTCTCGGAAAGGAGAACAACGCATGCAGAACCGGAAAAGACGCAAGAAACGACTTTAAGCCACTGGGTGTGTTTGGGAGGATGCCCCAAGAGAGAGGTCGTGCTACAAAATTGCCACCTGGCAGCGAGTAGACTGCAGTGCCCCGTGTGTCCAGTTCTTCGAGAAGAGGACGGCCGGAAGGGCTATCCCGGCGGCGGGAAAATGTCCTATTCCTGCCTGCCCTTACAAGCTCTCCCCGGGGCGGACT